ATTAAGTGCAAATAAGGAGGTGAGTATTAATTGGAATTTATTTATTAAAGAAAATGAACAGTCAATGAGAGTACCTGGACCAGTTTATGATCCATCCTATCGATTGTCAATTACATCATCACCTTCATTCTCTTTTGGAAGAAGAACACCACTGCCAAGTGATCAAGTACTTCTTGAACATCCTGGGTTAACAGATTACAACAAACAATTCGTTTCTCATTCTTTTTCCCTTCAGGGCAAAGATAGAGAAGTTGACCCAAATATTACATATAACGCTCCAAGAGCAAGATTTTTGGGAGATCAATTTTTGAACGAGAACCTGGGAAGAGCATCTCCAGGACCAAAGTATAATATAACTCAAAGTTTTGTCATTCCATCCAAGAGACATGTTGAGGAAGATCACATCCTGACATTCAAAGCTAAAGAAAAGAAAAAGAAGGACAAACCGATTCCTACACAAGTTTATCCTGGTTATAGTATTTCCAAGGCTTCTGCTCAAATTACTGAAAGTCCTGGGTGTGTTTACACTCCAAAAACAGATTTCTCGTCACGAGTCCCAAGAGTATGCAGCCCTGTAATGAAAGTAGCAAAACCAGTGGATAACAGAAAAGCTCCTGAAATTTATCCTCAATTAAGAAATCCAAATCTTACAGCACTTTCAAATGTCCCAACTTCAACAGTACCAAAGTTCATAAGAACTGGAAATACTGTTGGTGTTAGAACTCCTCCTCTGATTTCCCATTCTCCTGGTCCAGTTTATAAAGTTGACTGGGAATCATTGGAAAAGAATGCAAAGAAAGGTTTACCTGGAGGTAAGTTTGGAGGCCTTTCGTAATAAATTTCGTTTTGATTCTCACTATTTTTTAGAAATTTAATTTATTACAATTTAATTGTCATTAAGACTCGTGATTGAATAAATTGCTGTAGATTGCTATCTACAGAATGCTTACATATTTGTTAAGGTCTTTGCTCCATTCATAGTTTTCGTGAAGCCAGTCGTTCCTTTCTTTCCAGATGCTGGTGTTAGCTTTTGTGGTTTCTTTGATTATGATTTTGTGACATTCATTGCCAATGAAGTCTAGTTTTTGTCCAGTG